GGCGATGCCCCCTCCACGCGTTGTGCGTGAGGAGCTCCAGGTTCCTGGTTTCGCGCGGTGTCCTCGGTGCCCCTCGATCGGGGATTTCGCGCCAGAGACCGTCGATACGCACTAGGTGGCGGCGGAGGGCGTTCATGGTGCCCCCCCTGCCAGTGACCCTAGCGTCCGCGACGCGCGGCCCACGCATGGGCCCGTCAGCCTCCCGACTGGCTGCCCAGTCAGCGTTCGTATGCCCAGTGGCGTCCATCCATCGAGCGTGGAGGTCGGTTGCATACTGCCCTCTGTCTCTATGGGCTTGGCTGGGGTCCTCCTCGGCTTCCGAGGGGGCATCCTGGTTTTCCCTCCGCAGTTCTTCCTCCAGGGCAAGGTCGGGAGAGGGGTGGGAGAGCGGATCGGGCGTGACGGGAGCTCTGGGAGCCGCGCACCTCAACACAAATGGGGAGCCGTTGGCCGTCCTGATGAGGGGTCTCCGGTCCCAACCATGAGGCAGGTCTTCGCAGCCGTGGCCAACGCCGCACAGGGGGCCGTCTGGATGCTCTTGCCCAGGGGGTGGGCCAGGAAGGGAGTGGATGGGAGGGGGGCGGGTGGGCGAGGGAAGGGAGACGCGAGGCGATCCCGCGACGACGATCGGAGGTCCGATGTGATCGATCCGATCGACCAGGGAACCTGTCCCGTCTGCGGGGTCAGCGAAGACCCTGCTGGCACCGGGCGCGTGGGGCCGCCCCATGGACAACCCAGTCGTCGTTCCCAGGGAAGGTCGGTCACGGTCGGTCGTCTCAGCAGAAGGGCGTGCCTCTCTGTGGCCCCTATTGCCGGGCCTACCCGTCTCTTGCTGTCTTCTTCCTGGCTGAAGGCCAGTCTCGCCTATGAGGTTAGCAGCGTGGAGGCTGGGCGCTGCTCCTGCGGCGGTGCCCACGTCTCCAGGGAGGGGGGCGGCGGAGTCAGGGCGGGAGCCGATTGATCTGCTGGCGCTGCTGGCTGCGCCTGCCGCGCGGTCTTCGACGTGCCTTCTCAGGGATGGCTCCGTTGCGGGGCCGGTCCCGTCTGCGCCTACGTCAGCGGGGTCGGTCGTTCGTCCGCAGCTGGCGCGGGGGTCCACCTGATGGGGGAGGCCCTGAGCGGATGCACCAGGAATCCCAGGAGGGTCGATGTCGTCTCCACTCGTGGTCACGGCCTCTGCGGCTCTCTCGGTGTCCATTGGCGCTGTCTCTGGATCTCGAGCTGAAGGCTCGTCACTTCTGAGGTTACTCGATACGCCTTGGAGCCTCGAGCTGAAGGCTCGCTCCGTATGAGAATCCCGAGCTGAAGGCTCGCCCCATCCGCAGCTGTCCAACTGGGGGGCGGGTGGCTGACGAGAGTCTTCGGGGTTACAGGAGAGACCAGGGAGTTGACTGGTGGCGGCATCGCCGTCGGCGCCAACCAGTCCGCTTGAGGCGTCCCAAGCAGCAGACCCCCTCAAATCTGCTGTCTCGCTGGGAGCTCCACGGGCTGAAGGCCCATCTTCTGCGTGAGCCGTGCTGCCGCCTCCGGGCAGGGCGGCGGGCGCGCGGCGACACCCGTCGCCACTCGTGGTCGTATCTTCTGCGGCGCTCCCGACGTCCATTGGTGTCGACTCTGGTTCTCGAGCTGAAGGCTCGTCACCTCTGAGATTGCTCGATGCGCCTTGGGGCCTCGAGCTGAAGGCTCGTTCCGCGTGGGAGTCCCGAGCGAAAGGTTCGCCCCGTCTGAGGCTGCCAGGCTGGGGGGCGGGTGGCGGACGAGAGTCCTCGGGATTACGGAAGTGACCAGAGAGAAGACTGGCCGCCGCGTCGCCGTCGGCGCCCACCAGTCCGCTCGAGGAGCCCCCGGCAGCAGACCCCATCAAATCTGCTGTCTCGGAGGGCGCTCCAAGGGCTGAAGGCCCATCTTCTATGTCCACTCTGCTGCATCCAAGGGGGGCGGCGGGCGCATGGCGACAGCCGTCTAGCCATCTGCCAACGTCCGCGGGGGGAGTCGGCTGCGCGGCTAGGACGCGGGCCTCCATAGTAACAGGGTTGGCACCTTCGCAGCTGAAGGCTGCTTCTCTCGGCATTGGAGCGCCCAAGGGGGGGCGCTCGGCGGAGTGTAGGAGCAAGCCCCTGGGATGCGAGTCGGGTACAAGGGCGGGCGTCTGCCCGTCCCCCCTCCTGTCGCAACCGCGGTCACCCTCTGGAGTGGCCCCAACCCTAGTCCCCCCGCCATCGTCGGCGAGGCCCCTGGGCCGGTCGTCGGGGGCGTCTCTCTGGCGGTCGCCCCTTCGCGACCAGAGCGGGCCTGGGTCCGTCGGGGGATTCGCTTGTTCTGGAGTGGGGCCCTCGCCCCCCGTGATCCTGGCATCGCCGTGGGCGATCCAGCTTTGCCCTGCACCGCCAGGAGAGAAGGAAATAGGGCGCCCAGCCATGGGCAGAGGAAGGGTAGGGGTGAGGGAGGGAGATAAGTTCGGCGGGAGGGCGTCATTCCTGTCAATGTCAAACCCAGGGAAGCGACTGAAGGTCGCTATGTCAGTGTGTCTCGCGGGGTTGAACGTGTCTCCCCATCTTCCCGTCTGGCTGAAGGCCATCGGTTCTCGTGTGCACGCAACGTCAATAAGAGCGATCACGGGGTCCGCGGACGCGTTCGGACCGCCCGTACTCGGGGGGTCCCAGGGGGCGAGGGGCGACGGCTGCCCTGGCGGGATGGTGTCCTGTGATCCAGGGGGAGGATGTCTCGAGTCTGCCAGTCCGTGGGCCCCCTGGCCGTCGACTGGGCTTGCATCGTCACCCGCGGAGTTCCCAGGAAACCTAGGACCGTCGTCGATCGGCCCCCCGTCCATGCTAAGCCCGACCTGGGCCAAGCTGCTGCGTGGAGCCGTAGGAGCGGAACCCAGGGAGTCTGCTATGGCCGGCGCGCGGCCCGGGGGGAAGCGCGCGGCCCGAAAACTCCTAGGGGATGCCCCCTTGAGCTGGGAGACCCGGCCGAGGGGCCGGGGCCCAGAGACGGCTTGAGCCAGAGGCTACGGACTGGTGGGGATACGCGAAGCGTCTAGATTTTCAATTACCCTGCGACGTACCCAACCCACGCGCATCAAATGGCAAGAGGAGTGCGCCAACATTAGCAGGAACAACGACAGTGTAGACGCGGCGATTTGCTGCGCAAGCTACATGGGATGCGCATGCGCTGCGCGATTCACAGGACGACGATCGAAAGAACGAGGCTTGAGGCCCCAGGATCGAAGAAGAACGGGCACGGGAACGAGGGGTAGGAGAGGGATGGAATGGAGGGCGGGGGGGGCGAAAGGCCATCGCGGAAGCAGCAGCATGCATGGAGAAGGTGAGGCGGGGAATAGGACGACGATGAAAGTGGCGGGAGGAGACAGAAGACTGCCGCGTTTTTCAAGTGCGAGCTAAACCCGCAGCGCTGCCTGCGCCATGTCGTCGCAGAGTTCCACATGATAAAACTTGTTTAGAGTGCAAGGAACGAGCGAGGCGTAGCTCGCCCGCTAGCTTCTCCGCCTCCTTCCCGCACATTTCAGCGCGGGAGCTGAACGCTCGCAGGCGCGCCGCCAGGTCTGCGGGCGGCCCGCGGGAAAGAAACTCAAGGCCGGGGTCGCGTATCATCAATCGGTTGTCCATCGTCCAAAGTTGCACTGGCGACGTACTGGTTGAACGCGGAGCGAGCAGCATCACGCGCGTGCCTGAACGCCACGCAGGTACAGTGCACGCGCGATTGGGACTTCAGGTCGATCACGCGCGTCTCCACCAGGCTTGGCAACACCACGCGACTGAGGATCTCACTGCGGTCTGCCATGCTGCTGTCCGCGAATGCAATGCGCTGCCTGCAAGTAAGGCGGCGGCGTCCACTTGTCTCAGAAGATGTTCCCGCGGGCCCGAAGGGCGACCGCCAGCTCGAGCCGCGGCGCCGGCAGGCCAGATAAGGATCATGCAACAGCAAAGACGATGACAGAGCAACGAGGTATCGGCGAGTGCATGACCGGCCTCCGTTTCCTGCACTTCTTTCCTGTAGTTCCCCTAGCTCATCGAGCTCAGCAGATGTTTCTGCGGGTCCGAAGGACGACCGCCAGCTCGAGTCGCAGCGCCACGTGGCACGAACCGCAGAGCAAGGGCACGCGAGCATTGCTCGTGGTCAGAATCTGAGTCCCCGTGGTGCCTCACTCCGCTGGCCACCCACCAGCAGCCCTCGAAAGTGGCGACAGTTTCACAGATCGCAGCCGCCCAGATGGCGAGGTCTAATCTGAGTCCCCGTGGTGCCTCACTCCGCTGGACCCACCAGCAACCCTCGAAAGTGGCGACAGTTTCACAGATCGCAGCCCCCCAGAGATGGCGAGGTCTAATCTGAGTCCCCGTGGTGCCTCACTCCGCTGGACCCACCAGCAGCCCTCGAAAGTGGCGACAGTTTCACAGATCGCAGCCCCCCAGAGATGGCGAGGTCTAATCTCCCCGTGGTGCCTCACTCCGCCGTGGTGCCAGTCACTCCGCTGGCGACCCACCAGCAGCCCTCGAAAGTGGTGACAGTTTCACAGATCGCAGCCCCCCCCCAGAGATGGCGAGGTCTAATCTGAGTCCCTGTGGTGCCTCACTCCGCTGGACCCACCAGCAGCCCTCGAAAGTGGCGACAGTTTCACAGATCGCAGCCCCCCCCAGGGATGGCGAGGTCTAATCTGAGTCCCTGTGGTGCCTCACTCCGCTGGACCCACCAGCAGCCCTCGAAAGTGGCGACAGTTCCGCAGATCGCAGCCCGCCAGGGATGACGTGAAAGGCAAGAGAAGAGAAGAGGAGGAGCGAAGAGAGGCGGAGAAGGGAAGCAAGAGAGGAGAGGAAGAGGGAAGAGAGGAGGAGGAGGCGGGAAGGAAGGAAGGTGGAGACCGCAGTGCTCTATTCAAAACGAGTACCCAACGCAGGAGGGTTGGGAAAAACAATGTAATTTTAGGTCAAGCGTGTCCTCCGACAGGCTGATTTTGGACGAAAAATGAAAAATAGTCCAACACTGTCGAAAATAGTAACAGCAGTAGACAACATCGTTCCCGTCGTATTTTTCTACAGCTTGTGAATATTCCTCCTGTAGAGGGACATGCCCGACTGAAAGGGCAATTGGGCACCCTCACCGGCCGCAGAGCAGGAAGGGCCCAGCGGTGCACGTCAGTCAGCGGCGGGGCGCGCGCCGTGACCTGTGGCCCACGAGGCAGCCGCGGCGGCGAGGGGAGAGGCCCCGAGACCCCGGGGCCGCCCTCGAGGAGAAAGGGGGCGGAGGAGGCGAGGGCAAGGGGCGCGGACACGCCCACCGAGCCGCAGATTTGTGCTGTTCCCCTCGTGCTCGAGGGCTGGACCCCAGAAGTACAGTCGGGGCGTTGACCTAAGGAATCCGAAATAAGGAACGAGGCCCATTTTTTCCATAAGTTAAACTTCGATTTCCCATCGAAAACCTAAGGAAAACCTCAGGCAAGCTGCAAAACAATGAAGGAACACGGAGCCCCTCCCCAACGAGAAGGGTTTCTTCTTCAGCGCCCCGACTGTAATGTCAAGCACCCCCCCCCCAAAAAGTATCGAGACAGCGCCTGCCCAACACGCTGGCGAAGTGCCGAACGAGTCTCGCCTCCCAGGTCCCGACACGTGAAAGCCCGCCAGTTTCGGCACTTTCTTGGTGCTCGCAACATTTTCTGGTGATCAAGGCGACAGTACCTAGGCTGGAACATCATAACCCCAGATGCCAATGCTGATGCCGAGAAAATTGACGTCATAATCTTCGCCAGCGTCCGCAGGCCGCGCTGGCAGCGCGGCACGGAACGCTGAGATTGGGGGGCAAGGTGGGGGGCGACAGAGCTGGCCTCCAGTTTCGCAGAACGATGCGGGAGCCAAAGAGCGGACCCCAGGTACCGCAAGCGATGAGAAACCTCAGCCCTGGAACCCTCGAACCTCTACCCTCGGTCACTCAAACCCACGGTCCCTCGACGACGAAGACGACGACGACGACGACGACGACGTTGACGACGACGACGACCACGGACGACGACGACGATAACGACCACGGACGACGACGACGACGACGAACGACGGCGACGACGACGATGTCGACGACGACGACGACGCAAAAATGCAACATCAGAAACAACACAACCGGAGCCCAGGCCCCCTCTTTCTGCGCCCTGCTTCAAGCTGGATTGACATGTGAGGGCCCTGGGGCCCGAAATCTGTCAAAAATGCCCGCTGCGAAAAAACTGCAACGCCAGTCCAAACTTGCAACGTCTTATTCTTTCAAAACGCGGTCCCCCGAAATCCCCGCCTTTTCCCCCCGACCAGTTTTGCACCCCGAGTCGTTTTGTTGACGGTCCCAGGGCCCGGTGAGGGCCCCCCGGAGGCCCAGAACGGCCGAGAGGCTCCCGTCCGGATCGCATGTGTGGGAGGATCTCAGGTGTCCTTCGACCCAAACCCCCGACGTCCTGATTTTTGCATGACCCGACGCCCAGAGGCCTGGACCCTCACCTGGGACTGGCTCCTCCTCCTGGCTCGTTCCTCGACGGCCCCGAGGCCCGGGGAGGGCCCCCAGAGGCCGAAAGCAGCGGAAAACACCCCGCCGCGATTTTGTTGGGAGACGCGAGGGACTCCTCCTCCTCCTCCTCCTCCTCCTCCTCCTCCTCCTCCTCCTCCTCCTCCTCCTCCTCCTCCTCCTCCTCCTCCTCTCCGCCTCCTCCTCTCGCCCTCCTCCTCTCGTCATCATCATATACTCCTCCCTCGTCCTCCTCCTCCTCATCCTCCTCCTCGTCCTCCTAACCCTCCGCTCCTCCATCGTCCTCCTCCTCCTCTTCCTCATCTTCCTCCTCTTCCTCTCCTGCCTCTCCCTCCTCCTCCTCTCCTCCTCCCCCTCCTCCTCCTCCCTCCCTCCCTCCTCCCTCCTCCCTCCTCCCTCCTCCCTTCCTCCCTCCTCCCTCCTCCCTCCTCCCTCCCTCCTCCTCCCTCCTTCCCTACCTCCCTCCTCCCTCTCCTCCTCCTACTCCTCCTCTCCTCCTCCTCCTCCTCCCGCCTCCTCCCCTCCTCCCTCCTCCTCCCCCTCCTCCTCCCTTCCTCCTCCTCCTCCTCCTCCCTCCTCCTCCGTCTACCTCTCCTCCTCCTCCGCCTCCTCCTCCGCCTCGAGGGTTCCTTCGATCCCTCGTCTGGCGCCTGGGCCCGAGGCGCTCCCCGCCCAGTCCGCACCGGCGTAGGGCGAACACGAAATACGAGGGGGGCGGCTCGGCGCCCAGCGGGCGGCGGCGCGGGGCGCCCGCAAGCTGCCGCGCCACGTGGGCCCGTGCGGCTGCCGTCGCGCGCGCCGGCTTCGCCCCGCGCCCCGCCGCCGCCGAGGGAGCGACCCAGACGAGGAGGAGGAGGGAGGGAGGGGGGAGGGGTGAGGGAGGAGGGGGAGGGGGGAGGGAGGGAGGAGGGAGGGAGGGAGGAGCAGGAGGAGGAGGAGGACATGTGAGGTGGAGGAGGAGGGGGAGGAGGAGGAGAAGGAGGAGGAGGGGAGGAGGAGGAGGAGAAGAGAGGAGGAGGAGGAGGAGGAGGAGGAGGAGGAGGAGGAGGAGGAGGAGGAGGAGGAGGAGGAGGAGGAGGAGGAGGAGGAGGAGGAGGAAGAGGAGGAGGAGGAGGAGGAGGGAGGAGGAGGAGGAGCGCACGTACCCTCAGAGAGCAATCCTCCATATCAGGCGCCCGTTGCAATTCTGGCGCCTCGCAGAATCTTCAGATGAGATTCGAGGTCACGAGCAGATCCAGGGGCAGCATCCTGTTCTGCCTTGAGTTTATGGTAGCAGTGGAAGGCCAGGACCGCCGAGCAGTGAACGTCCGCTCTCGAGAAGAGACGGTCATAGTGCCCCTCGCCTCCAAGCCCAATCCGAGCCATGGGGCAGGGCGGGAGAAAAGCACGAGGGCGATGGCGAGCCAGGAGGTGGAGGAGCCGAGGACAGCAGAGGTAGTGAGGAAGAGAGTCCACGCATCCTTCGCATCCAAGGCGACAGCTCCTACGTGCGAGGACGGGCATTCTGGCCGTCGTGACCCATCCCCCCGCGAGACTTTTCAAATGAGCCCGCGCCCACGAAGGCTGGGTACGTGAAGGAATCGGCCTCAGAAGAGCCCACCTCGCTTCCATCTCTCGAGGGGTGGGGAGCTCCAGGGACGGGAACCAGGCATGGAGGCGACGGAGGAAGAGGAGGTGGAGGCGGTCAGGAAAGAGGGTCGAGGAGAGGGAGCGGGAGAGGATACGCTGGGCCCGAGGGCGCCTTCCATTCTCCAAGGCGGCGCGCCTTTCCCCCACCATCCTCCGCCCCGCTTCTCGAAGGGCAGTCCGAGAGAAAACGTCGGAGGGGGAGGCATCAAGGACAGACAGGACAAATTGGGCAATCGACCGACTTTGGGCCCAGCACGGTGGGGACCAGCCCCCTCGGACATGACGCGCACACGTGCCGTGCCACGTATGCCATTCCCCCAAGAGACGTGTGAAAGCCCTGGCCTTCGTCCACGAATGAAGCCCGAACCGCCGCGCAGCCGACCGACCGAGGACCGCCATCGCCGCAGGCGCCGATCCAGGAAACCACTGCTGAAGGCTAAGGATCTCATCACGCTTAAACGTGTTCGGGGGAAGCCGCAAGAGCTCATGCAACAGCCATTGCTCTCTTCGGAGGAGGAAGGACGGGAGGGGGAAGAACTGAACGAGGTAAGACAGGACAGGAAGAGAGCAGGAATTACACTGCCGAGCGGAGGCTTCCGCAGGCGCCCGCGTCGAGGCAGCGAGGCGCACTCGGTGCCCGAGCTTCGTGCTTGCCGCTTCCCACTGCATTTCAAGCGTGGCCTCGGGACCGGATTGCATCCCCAGGTATTTGGCCCGACCCCTGATGGGAAAGGACGAAAAGGCCGGGGCAAAAGACCGAAGGCGGGACCCGACGAGGTCCTGCACCTCAGGGGAGGCGCGGGTCCAGAGCGGCACCACGAAACATTTCTTACTCTGCAGGCGCAAGTGCGCCAGCTCCTGTGCAGCTGCAAACACGGGCGCAACGCGCGTCACCTCCTTCAGTACAGGTGGTACCACTCCGACGTCATCCGCACATGCTCCAGCAATCAAGGGCGCCATCTCAACAGGGCCAGTCGCCATCGGGTAGTCAATATTGCCGACATCGAAACCATCTGCTGCCATAACACTGCCATAGCCCTCCATGTTACCAGTGCACAGATGATGCAGGAACGGATCAAAGGTCAGCGCCCATAAAGACCCAGAGAGCGGGCAACCTTGGGCCACACCCGCCGCGTGAAAGATAAATTGCAAGGAATCACCGCACCAGGTCCAGCTTTGCATATCATGGTGCAGCGCCCGACTGGCCATGAGGAAGCCCGTAGCAATCTTATGATAGTCCAATACACTCTGGATCCATATCCAACTCATCGATGGAAAGGCAGCGCACACATCAAAAGAAATGAAGACAGGTCTGAGGTCATTCGCACACATATGTCCACCAGCCATGCGAGCATACGTGTCGAGCTCCGCGACGTGGGTGGTAAACTATCTTCCACGGACAAAGCCACGCTGGACATGGTGGCATCTCTGTTCCGCAATCGAGCGTAACTGAACATTAATGGTACTGGCGATGGCCTTGGAGCCCGTGTTCTTCAGAGCAAGCGGCCGTAGCTCATCGGGGGCCCGAACAAGATCGATCAGATCCTCTGGCCGCTCATCTTTCGGAATGAAGCACAGCAGGTGATGATTGAAGCCCGAGGGGCAGCCAACTCCACCGAACATATCTAGCAAGACAAGATAGAGAGTCTCCACCGCATCATCATGGGCCAGCTACGCACGGTAGGGCAGCCTGTCTGGGCCAGGTGCACTGGGCTTGCCCTTGCGCAAGGCGATCTTGAGGTCATCGATCGATGGCGGCCTGAGTTCAGGAGCAGGATAGACAGGAAGATGATGACAAAGATACCCACGGAGAACATCGCCAGACGGAGACTCCTTCGCCCTGAATCCCCCCCCCCCCCCCCCAGTGGCGTTGAAGCGCAGACGCCATGTCCACCGCGCCGCGGGCAGTCGCACCACCAGAAGAGCCAGTGTGCCCAGCAGATATTCCAGCCCCAGGTTGGACATGCAGCTCCTCGCATGCATCAGAATCCGTCAAGAATCCACTCACCAGCGAACACGAAAAAGAAGAGACCGATAGCGAAGACGTCGTAGTAGAAGAGCGGCCAGAAGAGTCAACAGCGGCCGTTGAAACCGTAGGCTCGCGAGGCGCGGCCCCAGGGGAGGGCCCGTCATTAAGGTCGCCACTGCCCGCAGGCGTGGTCCGACCACCAAGCGAGTCCGACACAGCGGCTTGAAGACCCCCCCCCCCCCCCCCCCCCCCCCCCGCGCATCCCAACTGCGGTCGCTGAAACCGTAGACTCACGAGGCGCGGGGCGGCCGCCATTAAGGTCGCTCCTGCCAGTGGCAGCAGTCCGACCACCAAGTGAGTCCGATACAGCGACTTGAAGGGATGCATCATATACGCGAGGAGCAGACGTCGCAGTGAAAGAAGGCAAGGAACCCAACCGCGTCGGGGCATGCTCCACCGACGTCTGCTGAGGGGTGGGTCGTGTCTCCTGCTCCTGGAGGCCCCCAGGAGGAGCACAGTGAATGTCTGCTACTGCAGGAGGCATCGTGGAATGGCCAGCCGAGTTGTGCCTGATGCCGTTCAGGATAAGCTGGCGGCGCGAGTCACACCATGGACGGGCCCTCCTCGCTGACGTCCTCTGGATCTTGCGCCATTGTTCCCGAGACAATTCAGCAGGCTCACGATGTTGAGGATCACCACGAAGTGCTTGGGCATCCGCGTGGCGTTGGAGCCGTTCACGCCACTCAGAGTTCGTCCGAATGACCGTCTCAGCGAACTCAGAGGCATTCGAAAGAGAGGCTACCCCATTGTCCACATACAAGAACCGCTGGCCATACTCAGTATTATGGCGAAGTAACGATGCCAGATGGGCATCCTGTTGCCAGATGGCCCGAGCAATACTACGAAGTGTGATCCTCCTCGAATCTTCCGCCCCATCTCGTGAGGCGTCCAGAGGCAGCTGTTGGAGCATGTCGCGCACACGCGCCGCTGCTCTGATCATGAAATCTATGGTGACAGACCAACGCTCAGCCACAGAACAGCCAGTCCAGTCGATGTGCGCCAGGTATTGGTTCAGCTCCACCTTGTACTCAGGAACACGAAAGACATAATCGGGAATCGAGCGCTCCATGGGCGGTTTCTTCCCTCTTGGCCGAAGTTGGAGAAGTAGCGAAGCATGATCACTGAGAGACCAGTCAGACAAACGTGTTGCTTCCTGTTGAACCGATAGCGTGACCTCAGTTTCGAGAATGAAAGGCGGCGTCAATGAGACAAAGGACCGATCGATGGTCGAGCATGTCTGGGTGCGCTTGCAGAAGTGGGTCGGCAAGCTAGAGACCACCTCCACCATCCGAAAGTCAAACAGCGCACGCCAGAATGGTTGGTGCTGTTGTCCACGAACCTCCACATCACGCCGAGCCGCAGGCCTCAGAAGGGAGTCTGGAGCAACATCCGCGACGTTGAAGCCGCCCATAGCAATGACGCAACGATGGCGCTCATCCTGTTGGGCCCACACAGCCGCGCGCCGCCACAAGGTTCGCACCGCCTGACGCGCATGAGCGTCCAAATCAAAGTTATGTGCATTCAAAAGGTGGACCGCTTGACCAGCGCCTCGAACTTGTAGAGAGAGGATGCGCCCAGGAACCACACACCGAGGCAGGAAGGACGGGATAACATCCGACGGGAGCTTCACGAGATCAGCCTCCTTGTACCATGGAATCAAAATCGCAACACCTCCTTTCCCAGGTGACGAAGCTGCGCTGAAAAAAGTTCGGTACTCATAAGGAAACTGCCTCAACAGAAAGCTCCAATCATATTCAGATCCATGCACTTCTTGAAGTAGAATGACCGCCCTCATGCGAAGAAAGGGTTCGAGCATCTTGAGCTTCGAGCGACATAGAGTTCTCCGGCGCCCCTTGGAGCTGAGGCCACACAGACGTCTGGCATTCCATGAGACGACCCTGACCTCTTGGCGAGATCCCTTCTCAAGAGCTTCGATCCGCCACGGCTGAGCCCATTGGTCAGGACCACGACCAGGAGCTGGTGTCCACCGTCTCGAAGGCGCGATTGAAGGCGGCCGTGATGCCCGCCACGTCCACCTGGTGCTGGGCGACCACCGCTTGGTTCCATGCCAGCCTTGAGGGCTCGCTGGCACCTCTAACCACAACCTCGACCAGCGGCTGACCCTCAATGTGCACCAAGCCTCTCGCTCTGGTACCCACCAACGCTTGCTGGGCATCTTCTCCTGAGCGATAGCGGCCAATCGTTTAGACTGCTGCTCACGTCTGATCTGCTTAGGGGCTTTGTCGGGGCCAACATACAGAGGCCCAGTAGCCCCAGAAAGCTGCCTAGCCGAGAACCTCCTCCACTCTTCCGAGGGGAAGCGGAGCGCCTTGGCCAAGGTGATGGCCTTCGAGATACCTGTCGCGCCTCCTTTGACCTCCAGGACGAACCGCCTGCTGGGTCCCCGAGCGTGCAGCACTGCGTCCTCCGCGTCAAGCTTGGCGTCGTTGATCCAAGATGCGATGGCTCCACGCACTTCATCAGGGGCAACATCATCGGGTGCGTTGATCGTGAAGATCGTGGGGGTAGGGATCTCTGTCGAAGTCCGCGAGGCGAGCGATGTCCACCGCTGAGTGTTCTTCCTCCGATAATGCCAAGCGATGATTGATCCGACTGATACCTGCGCGCATCTCTTTCTGGGCATCCTCCATGGAGAGCTGCTTCCGCTGAATGTCACCGATGGCCAAGTCATGTCCATCAACACGCTGCATCGTCGGGGCGAAGTGGGCCTGGAGCTGCGAGATAATCGTGCCCTGGGCGTGCTGCATCGTGGTGGCCACAGCATTCTGGACCTGCGCGGTGATGTTCGCCGTGTGCGCCTGCAGCTGAGAAGCGACCACCTGCGAAACATAGGTGGCCCAGTCAGGTCCGCCCTCGGCTCCCTCGACGCCATGTCCAGCGGGCATCGTAGGAGTAAGGCCGTCTCGCGGCGTCGCGGTGCCCTCCACCTGTGCATGAGGCGAAGCAGGGGGAGTGACATTCGCATCAGCAGCAGCCATAGCCCAGGGATCATGCGGATCAGAACGCTGCTGCGAAGGCGGGAATGTGGGAACCTGCGAGAGCCGTACACCGTCACGTTCCATCTCGAAGACCGCGTCCGCCATTCTCTGGTTCGCAGATGGCATGCGGGGTGGCCTAGCGTCCTCAGGGCCTTCTCGATCCTGGTGCTGTCGGGGACAGTCTGAGGCACTGCGTGGAGGGCGTCGGCGTCGGTCACCTCTTTCTGAGCGCTCACGGCTGGGCTTGTCAGAGCCAGAGGAGCCAGCAGACACAGAAGAAGCAGACTCATCATGATCACGATCACGGCGCCTCCGACGACGTTCCTTCTCCCGCTTCGACCGCCTCTCCGACCCGCCCATGGCACACAGGAGAAGAAATGGTCGATTCCGCACGTCGGCGGGAGGGAAGTGAGTGAGGGCGCCCAACTCCCTCCGTGAAGGCGCAGAGAAACACAGTGGTCTGGCCGCGGACCAGCGGTATCCATGCGGCCGCGAGGCGACATGGGTACCTTGAGCCAAAATGGCTACGGAGGAGGAGGAGGAGGAGGAGGAGGAGGAGGGAGGAGGAGGAGGAGGAGGAGGAGGAGGAGGAGGGAGGAGGAGGAGCCCTGGGGCGCCCCGGGCGACCGCGCGCGCGCCCTGGGAGAGCTCGGGAGCATGCCTGCGTCCTGGAAGAATCCGGGCGGCAAGCGTCTGGCCGTTCTGGGCCTCTGGGGGCCCTGACCGGGCCCCGGACCCCAGGGCTCCTAAGTTCGCGCTTCGCGCTGCGCGAAGCGCGAAGCGCGAATAACTTCGCGCTCTCGCGCCGCCCTCCCAAAGGGAGAAGAGGAGGACGAGGAGGGGGGGGAGGAGGAAGGAGGACCGCGAAGCGCGAAGCGCGAATAACTTCGCGCCCTCGGGGGAGCCCTTGGGGACCGTCAAAAAACGACTCAGGGTGGAAAACTGGTCCCTGGGAAAGGGTCGGGATTTCAGGGTGCCGCGCATTGAAGAATGAGGACGTCGCATGTCTAGGGGGGGCAATCAGATCTGGACGGCGCACCCAGCGGGGTGTACGTAGGGGGAGGGGGGAAGGATTGTCAGAGGGAGGCTGCTTCTTAGAAGGCGCAGGCCCTACATCTGTAGAGAAGGCCCGTGCCTTCTAAGGAAGCAGCCTCCTTCTAAGAAGCCTTCCCCCCTCCCTCTACCCCCCTCTGCGCGTGGCCGAGATCCTGGCGTGGCAATTCTTTCACACCGAGCGTTTCCGCCCAATTTCGGGAACCCGGACCATTGCAGATCGATCTGGCTCGAGAACTGCCGCAGGAGGATGGGATCCAGGGCTCTGGTGGTGATGTCTCACGATGTTGCAACTCCTTCGCAGCGTCGGATCTCAGGGGCTCCTCGATCGCTGTTCGATCCTCGCTCGATGCGCAACGTCCTCGACCCCAGCTCGCTGATCTGGCGATCGAGGAATCCGAGAGGATCGCTCGAGAGCTCGCTCGATCGGTACTCGATCGATGGACTCACACGTGCCTGGTCACCCGGCGCCGCGCCGTCTCGCCCCACGATGCGCGGCGCGCGAGTGGCGTCGCGCCCTCGCACCCCCGGCGCCCTCGCCCGGCCCCATTGGAGAAGGGCAGCCGCTCGGGTCCAGCCCGCGACGCGCGAGAACTGCGAGTGCCTTCGCGCCCCCCCCCCCCCCCTACGCGTGACCTGGGGGTCGAGGACAGAGGGGTCGAAGATCGAGGATTCCAGGCTACTCACCGCCTGCGATGAGGATTCGAGGATTCGATGGATCGAGGATTCCAGAGATCCAGGGGTCGAAGGATCGAGGCTTCCAGGAGCGAGGCTGGTTTCCCCGCTTCTTCGGCGTCCCAGGGGCCCGCCTTCTGGGCTCCGATGGCCGTCGAGGAGCGATCCGGGACGAGAAACCACGGCCAGGGGCGAAGGGCCAGTCCCAGGGGAGTTGTCTAGAGGTCTGGGGACCCCGTGTTGAGACAGTTGAGACATCGGATGACTGGTTCGCCGCAATCGTCGGTCAAAGGATCGAGGTCCTTTGGACGTTCCTCCTACTCTTTCTGAGTCTCCGGAAGAGTCCAGAGGCCTCAACGACTCAACGACATCGGTCGTCGTCGTCGTCGTCATCGTCGTCGCCGCCGTAGTCGTCATCGTCGTCGTCGTCATCGTCGTCGTCGTCGTCGCCATCGTCGTCGTGGTCGCGGCCGCAGCCGCCGCCGCAGCCGCCGCCGACGGCATCGTCGTCGTCGTCGACGCCGCCTTCGTCGTTGTCGTCGCCGCCGTCGTCGTCATCGTCGTCGTCGACGTTGTCATCGTCGTCGCCGTCGTTCGTTCGTCCGTCCTTTCGTCCGTCCGTCCGTCCTTCCGTCCGTCCGTCGTCCGTCGGCGTCGTTGTTGCGCTATGTCGCGTTGGCCTGCGCAAAGCCTCCCGCGGCGAGATGGAGAGTAGCTCCGTGAAGCACTTTCTCCTGCTCTTTCTGAGCCTCTGCGAAGAGTCCAGAGGCCTCAACGACTCAACAAAATAGGTCGTCGTCGGCGTCGCCGCCGCCGCCGTCGTCGTCGTCGTCGTCGTCGTCGTGGTCGTGGTCGTCGTCGTCGTCGTCGTCGTGGTCGTGGTCGTCGTCGTCGTCGTCGTTGTCGTCATCGTCGTCGTCGTCGTTGTGGTCGTGGTCGTGGTCGTCGTCGTCGTCGCCGCCGTAGTCGTCATCGTCGTCGTCGTCATCGTCGTCGTCGTCGTCGCCATCGTCGTCGTGGTCGCGGCCGCAGCCGCCGCCGCAGCCGCCGCCGACGGCATCGTCGTCGTCGTCGACGCCGCCTTCGTCGTTGTCGTCGCCGCCGTCGTCGTCATCGTCGTCGTCGACGTTGTCATCGTCGTCGCCGTCGTTCGTTCGTCCGTCCTTTCGTCCGTCCGTCCGTCCTTCCGTCCGTCCGTCGTCCGTCGGCGTCGTTGTTGCGCTATGTCGCGCTGGCCTGCGCAAAGCCTCCCGCGGCGAGATGGAGAGTAGCTCCGTGAAGCACTTTCTCCTGCTCTTTCTGAGCCTCTGCGAAGAGTCCAGAGGCCTCAACGACTCAACAAAATAGGTCGTCGTCGGCGTCGCCGCCGCCGCCGTCGTCGTCGTCGTCGTCGTCGTCGTGGTCGTGGTCGTCGTCGTCGTCGTCGTGGTCGTGGTCGTCGTCGTCGTCGTCGTTGTCGTCATCGTCGTCGTCGTCGTTGTGGTCGTGGTCGTGGTCGTCGTCGTCGTCGTCGTGGTCGTCGTCCTCGTCCTCGTCCTCGTCCTCGTCTGCGCCGCCGAAGCCGCCGCAACCGCCGCCGATGCCGCCGTCGTTGTCGACGACGTCTTCGTTGTCGTGGTCGTCGTCGTGGTCGTGGTCGTGGTCGTCGTCGTCGTCCTCGTCGTCGTCCTCGTCCTCGTCGTCGTCCTCGTCGTCGTTTTCGTCGTCGTCCTTGTCCTAGTCGTCGTCGTCGTCCTCTTCGTCGTCGTCGACGTTGTCGTCGTCGTTCGTCCGTCCGTCCTTTCGTCCGTCCATCGGTCCGTCCGTCCGTCCGTCGTCCGTCGTCGTCGTCGTCGCGATGGGCCTGCGCGCAGCCTCCCGCGGCGAGAGGGCGAGCAGCTCCGTGAATCTCTCCAGGCGGTGCTCGGGCGGCGTATCTGACGCGGTCGGTTGCCGTAGCTCCTCGGCACAGGGCGGGCGCACCAAAAACACATCTTCCCGGACCGTTTCTGGCCGGTTTCGGCCTCTGGGGGCCCTCACTGGGCCCCAGGACCCCCAACAACTGCTCAGGACGAGGTACTGGTCCCAGGGAAGGGGTCGGGACTTCAGGGGGTGTGCGCTATGAAAAAATCAAAACGTCATGGACATGGGTCTTCTGGTCTCGCAAAGCACCCAGTGAAAGTGATACTATACGATTGTCCGCCAGCGTCAGTGCAAGAAGCGGCCATGAAGTGCAGGTCTAGTTCTCATGCGATGAGTTCTTGGCGTAGCCTCGTTCCTATCAGTGGGTGTAGTGACCGAAACTGTGGCTGAAAATCTGCCCGAATATGACCGAAATCGGCGCCCGATGTTTTTCCGAACGCGCCTGACTGCCACCGACATACATGGCTCGAAACCACGAACCACATCTTGTTGTCATACTTCGCCTTCGGTCATAATTGCGGACACGTTTTCGGATACGTTTTCTCTGTCAAAACCCTTTCGGCTGACGAAAGACTTCCTGGACGGGGTGCGAAAAAATGGGGTCGGAGGGTCGCGTCGCATCGGCGACGCGGGCGATGCATCCGCGGCGCTGGCATGGAGAAAATCAGGCCCCATATCGCGCCGCATCGCCGATGCATCGGCGATGCGGTGCGATCCTCTGACCCCATCTACTACAACCCTCGTCGAAATTGAACGCAAGTTTTTCCCACCCCCGTCGCCCCCAAATTTCAATGTTCATCGACAGGCGCATCGCGGCCGGCGGGGTCCGAAGAAAATCTCGAAGCCGCCGGCGTCGGCGTGAACAGTGAAATGTGGGGGTCGGGGGGCGCCGCCAGGTCGCGGCTGAAACTTGCGTCAGGAGGAGGAGGAGGAGGAGGAGGAGGAGGAGGAGGAGGAGGAGGAGGCGGAGGAGGAGGAGGAGGAGGAGGGAGGAGGGGAGGGAGGGAGGAGGAGGAGGAGGAGGAGGAGGAGGAGGAGGAGGAGGAGAGGAGGAGGAGGGATGCAGGACCCCATCTGGAAGGCCCACATGATGGGGGCTGGGCCCACGACGCCCCGCTGCTCACGCGGGGAGCGAGCGCCCCACGAGGCCCCTCCCACCGCCGCCGCGCACACATCAAGGAGGAGAAAGAGGAGGAGGAGGAGGGAGGAGGAGGAGGGAGGAGGAGGAGGAGGGAGGAGGAGGAGGAGGAGGAGGAGGAGGAGGAGGAGGAGGAGGAGGAGGAGGGAGGAGGAGGAGGTCGAGCTCGAGCTTGAGCTCGACGGACCCTCCCCCCCCGGGGGGGCCGCGGGGGAGGTTGGGAAGGGCGGCCCACGGGCCGCGCGAGGCGCGTTGGAGCGGCTCGGCCCCGAGAGCTCACGAGGGGCAGCGATAGCCAGGGGCCCGTTTCGGGGGGGAGACGTCGGCCCGGAATCAGCGAACGCCGCCGGTACATCGGCGACTGGCCCCCGAGAGCGAATCCGCACGCTCCTTGGCGGGATGGGCTACCGGGGCCCAATCAGCGATGAATTTGGCGATTGAACACCGATGCGTCTCCTCTCTGAGCCTTTTGTCCTGCGTGGCGACGAGGTCGTGACGGGGTCACGACGGGGGAGGTCTGGTCATCTTCAGGCTGTGGTGAGCCCTCACAAGTCCCCAGGGCTGCCATCCCCCCAAGAGCAAATTGAAAAACTCCGAGAGCATCCCAAGACGGCCCTAGTGGCCTTGAGACGTCAGAATACATTTAGGAAGCCACCAACATATTCCCACGAGGTGCGCCCAACGCTCCCCAAAAGAGGCCACATCCCCGAGAGGCCTCCAACAGAGCATCAGGGGCCCCTGAAACGGCGGCCGAGGATGGCCACAAGAGGCTGCCAAAGGAGGCTCTGACGCACCCCAAAAGCCCCAAGATGAGTCCAGACCCCCAAGAAGAAGCAACTACTACACGAGGTTCTTGAAAAGACGTCCAAAGAAGGCCTGATAAGGCTGGGGGGATTGATCTCATCAGCCCTCTGGGTGGAGGTGGTTTATCGAGCTTCCTCTTCCAACCCCCATGTTTCCCTTCGGGAGGGGGTTAGTGATTGCTCCGTATTAACATATACACCCCCTCCCCCACACGCCCGGCGACAAACCGGCCCCCCCCGCCATCCCTGTCAAAAAACTTGGCGAAGAACCCAACCATTTCCCAACACGACGCGACGATCTACAGGACCGCTCGACGCGCGAGAACACACGGAGAGGTCTGCAGCACCTTGGAGCGCTTCGCCATGAAACGTCAGACCACACCCAGGAGTCCTCCCATTCACGCACGCACTCCCGCGACTCGAATCGCAAATGAGTTCGACGGTAAATGCACCACGGAGCACGAGGATAGGGGAGCATTACGTACGTGGGCGCCCTGAGAAGCAGGAAGCGCGTGAGAGGTGAGAGGTGTGCCGACATCGGCGCGGGGACGCCATGCGGACACCTGCATTGGCCATGGGTCGAGCCCCCTTGGGGGGGGGAGGGCAAGAAACGCATGAGGGGTGTGCCGAAACACGCGCGGGGAGGCCATGTGGACATCCCAGTGGGCCCCTTGGTCGAGCTCCCTGGAGGCCAGAAGCGCACGGGGACGTCGTGTGGACACGTCCACTCAAGCCATAGGTGGACACCCGTGGGGGGCAGGAGACCCGGGGAGGGGTGTGCCGAAGTATGCGCGGGGAGGCCTACGTGGACACCCCAGCTGGGGCCGCATGTGGAGCCCACGAAACTTGTGAGGGGTGTGCCGAATCGGGCGCGGGGGTGCCATGTGGTGGGCACGTCCTCCTCCTCCTCCTCGTCTCCTCCGTACTAGTAGTATTGTTAATATGTGTCTTAATGTGAGTTGCATTCTTAGTATTACTATTATTACTATGTATTATTAGTATTCATGTTAATCGTATGGGTATTGTTATAACTGATCGTAGTTCTAGTATGTTTGTTATTCGTATGTGTCGTCGCCTTCTTAGTCGTATCATGATTCATGATAGTAGTCGTAGCATTACCAGTCTTATTCGTAATATTATTAACTGTATTCTTAGCATGTGTATGATTAATAGTACTCGCATTCTTATTCTCGTTAGCCGAAGTATTAGTACTAGTCGTACTATTACTGTTCTTGCGATGACTATGAATATTACCCGTATTATAGTTTTCGTACTCTTTGTGTTATGGTTATTATGCCTAGTAGTGCCACTACTATTACGAACAGTCTGACTCGTATGAATATTCGCATTCGCAATATTCTGCTTCATAGTAATACTATGGTTAGCATGCCTACGCTAAGTAATCCTATATCTATCGTCATAGTATCATGATTGGTCTTCTTAGTCCCATTATTCGTCGCATTCGTTATCGCATTATTGTGTTTAACATTACTCTTCTTATTATGATGAATCGTAATATGGTTCCTCCTCCACCTCCTCCTCCTCGTCCTCCTCCTCGTCCTCCTCCTCATCCTCATTCTCATCCTCCCCCTCCTCTTCCTCCTCCTCCTCCTCCTCCTCCCTCTCCTCCTCCTCCTCCTCCTCCTCCTCCTCCTCCTCCTCCTCCTCCTCCTCCTCCTCCTCCTCTCCTCCTCCTCCTCCTCCTCCTCCTCCTCATCCTACGTTTCCTCATGCTCCTCCTGCTCCCCCTGTTCCTCCTGCTCCCCTTGTTCCCCTGCTCACCCCCCCTCCTACGCCTCCTCTCCTCCTCCTTCTCCTCCGCCTCCGCCTCCGCCTCCTCCGCCTCCTCCTCCTCCTCCTCCTCCCCTCCTCCTCTTACTGTTTCTCGTGTTCCTCCTGCTCGTCTGTTCCTTCTTCCCCCATGTTCCCCTTGTTCCCCCCCGACTCATCCTCCTTTTCCTCCTCCTCCTCCTCCCCTCCTCCTCCTCCTCATCATCAGCATCACCATCATCATCATCAGCATCATCATCATCAGCATGTTCATCACCCTCACCATCAGCATCAGCATCAGCGTCAGCGTCAGCATCATCATCATCAGCAAAATCATCATCATTAGCAGCAGCATAATGCTCATCATCAGCATCATGTTCACCAGCATCATCATCACCATCCGCATCAGCATCTTCGACATCATTACCACAACCACCACCACCATCATCATCCTCATCATCATCATCGTCGTCATCATCATCACAATCAACATCATCATCATCATGAGCATTGCCATTCTCATTATCATCAGCCTTGTCAGCATCATCATCATAATCATCATCGACATCATCATCATCACCATCAGCCTCTTCATCAGCATCAGCATAATCAACAGCAACAGCATCATCATCAACACCAGCATCACCATCATCATCATCATCATCCGCATCATCATCAGCATCATCATCTTCATCGTCAGCATCATCATCAGCATCATCATCAGCAGCGTCATCATTATCACCATGATCATCACCATCATCATCTGAATCATCGTCCTCATCAGCATCACCAACACAATCATCAGCATGATCATCATTAACAGCATCATCAACATCATCATAATCACGATCATAAACATCATCATCACCAGCATCATCATCATCCAGGTCATCATCATCAGCAGCATAATGAGTATCATCCTCATCCTCATCGTCATCAGAATCATCGGCATCATCAGCATCAGCACCAGCATCAGCAGCAGCATCATCGTCATCATCCTCATCCTCACCATCCACCTCCTACTCCTCCTCCTCATCATCAGCATCGCCATCATCATCAGCATCGATATCATCAGCAGCAGCAGCAGCATCATCATCATCATCAGCATCATCATTCTCATCCTTCTCCTACTCATCCTCCTGCTCCTCCTGTTCCTCCTCCTCCTCCCCCTCCTCCTCCTCCTTCTCCTCCTTCTCCTCGCACATACCCAAAGGCGCAACGAGGGTTCCAAGGGTCCTTACTCATCTACCTGCTGTAGCAGCTGCGCTCTGGCAGCACGAACCGAGTCAGCCATCGGCCAACCTTGACGCCTGTGGTTATATGCATAA